AACATAGATTAAATGCATCTTTTTTTTTTTTCTTTTAGAGACAAGGTCATGCTATGTCACTCAGGCTGCAGTGTACTGGCACAATCATGGCTCACTCACATTAGACTCCTGGGTTCAAGCAGTCCTCCCACCTCAGCTTCCTCAGTAGCTAGGACTACAAGCGTGTACCACCACGCTGCCACAGGATCCTTGGGGTGTTGCTTTGCCAGCCAGAAACCTCTGTGGTCAGTGGCACTTTTGCCTGAGTTTTGCTCAGGCCTGCTAGGCTCATTCCACCTGCTTGACCTGGCAGGCTGCGCTCAGCTCATGCTACCAGCCTGGATCCCATGCCTGCCAAGGGCAAGCCAGGTGCACAGTGACAAGGGGTGCATGAGTGAGTGCAGGGTCCAGCCACTACACACAGCTAGGCATGCCAGCTGCAGGGGGATGGGCAGTTCCAGGTGCCAGCAAGGGCGCCAGCTCCCTGCAAGGCTGCAGCTGGACCAGGTATACCACAAGTGGCTTCCACTGCTGGCACTGGGGAACACAGTGGTACCTGGAAGTTTGGAGACACCAGGAACTGCAGAGCCCCAAAGAGGGTGTCACAACACTGGCTCAGGGAGCTTCTAGGTCTGGGCTTCCCCAAGGGCTGCAGCTCTTCTCTCCTTCTTGTTGCCTGCTGTGTGGTGAGTGAGGGGTGTGTTTCAGCCCTGTTTGCCTTATAGCTTTTTCAGTCCCACCATTTGGTGGGTCCTGAGTTCTTGTCCCACATGCAGGAAGAATGAGATATGCGAACTATTGGAGGGTGAGTAATGCAAAGAGGTGCTTTATTCAGCAACAGTACAGCTCTCAGGAGATCTGAAGTGGGTAGCTCCTTTCTGCAAGCAGGTCATCTCGGCATCTGCTCAGCTCCCAGCTGAGAGGAGACCCACAGTGGGTAGCTCCTTTCTGCAGGCAGGTCATCCTGATATCTGTTCAGCTCTCAGCTGAGAGAAGACCCCACAGTGAATAACTCCTCTCTGCAGGCAGGTCATCCCGACCTCTGCCAGAGTCTGGCTGAGTCTAGGGTTTTCATGGGCTTCAGAGGGGAGGAAGTGCATGCTGACTGGTCAATGTGCAGCCACAGGTGGGCCTGAAAAAAGCACCATAAGTTCTCACTCCAGTCTGTGGAACTGGCAGCCTGGCCCCCAGGCTTCAGGCCGTCCCTGGCTTGAAGGTGGGGCTTCAGCAGTGACACATCCCTTTCCACTCAGGAGCCTGTCACTTCCTGCTGCTGTTCATGGTGCCCAGGCTGTTCATGCCAAGGGATATCTGCAGGCCTGTGCTATGCCACCCTCAGTGCCCCCATGGCCTCCCTCCTGTGCTCGTTGGCACTCAAAGTCTGGAGGGCACCAAAGCAGCAGGGGCCTGGTGTGTCAGCACCATCCCAAGCACACACACACCTGGCCAGGTCATGACAGTGCCCAGGCTTGGCCACAACTTTGCTCCAAAATAAGAGTGGGTGCCAGGAATAAGGAAAGGCCAGGCAGCAGGAGCAGGCACTTCTGAGCCTGTAGGGGCAGGGGGGCTTCCTGGGCCCCCAAGAGCACAGGGATCCCTGGGTCTGCAGCCATGGCTGGGCAGCTGCAGCTGCCTCTAGGAGCATGGAGCTCCCCCATCACCAACTCAGAAGGTGGGCACCATTCCTGCTTGTTCTTGGCTCCTGCCGGCTTAGTAGAGTGTACAACCCTGGTCATGTCTCCCCTGCTGCATCCAGCATCTTTGCAGCAGCTGCTCCAGACAGGGCACTGCTGAAATGATTACATGGTTTATGGATGAAAAATGAAGTGACAAAAATATGTATTCTCAAGTGCGTAACTGTTTACATAGAAAGCCCCAAAGAGCCTATGGAAAAATTATTAAAACAAACACAAGAATTTAGCAAGATGTTTGGTTACAAAATCAATATATATAAAACTGCTACAGATAATACTCATTTTCCCTCCTTCCCTCTTTCTCTTTCTTCCTTCTGTCTTCTTCCATTAAATATTAATTAGGCCAGCACTGTGGCTCATGGTTGTAATCTTAGCACTCTGGAATGCTAAGGCAGGAGGATTACTTGAGGACAGGAGTTCAA